TTCCTCTCTATGAGGGTCTAGACTAGAAGACTGGGTACATGAACCCAGCCCTCTGCAGGCACTGATAACAGAGGAAAGAAGTGGCTGGATTCAAACCAAAAGCTTGTGGAGAGAAGTGTGAATGTGTCTGTGGTAACAAAGGGGTAGTGAGAATGACTGGCTCTGCCTGGAAGAGGTACCAAGTTCTGCAGTCTGAGAAATGGGAAGAGGAATTTTCTGGGCAGAGAGAATAGCATACATAAAGTTGAGGTAGGGTGGTGAGGTAGGGTGGGAGGACAGGGAAGATAGCTTGGTCAGTCTCCAGAACCCATATAAAAATGTCAGACATGATCTTTAAAAAAATAAATAAATAAATAAATTAAAAAGGGCTGGAGAGATGGCTCAGAGGTTAAGAGCACTGACTGCTCTTCCAGAGGTCCTGAGTTCAATTCCCAGCAACCACATGGTGGCTCACAGCCATCTGTAGTGAGATCTGGTGCCCTCTTCTGGCCAGCAAGCATACATACAGACAGAACACTGTATACATAATAAATAAATCTTAAAAAAAAATTAAAAATGTCAGACATGGGCTGGGCAGTGGTGGTGCATGTCTTTAATCCTCAGCAGAGACAGGTGGATCTCTGAGTTCGAGGCCAGCCTGGTCTACAGAGTGAGTTCCAGGACAGCCAGGATGGTTGCACGGCTTGTCTTGAAAAACAAAACAAAAACAAACAAACAAAACGTCAGGCATGGTGGCATAGGTTAATAATCCTAACACTGTAGTGGGTGTAGGAGGCTCACTGGAGGCTAACTGGTGAGCTCCAAACTAATGAGAGATCTGTCTCAAAAGAAGTAGATGATGTTCCTGAGGATGATACCTTGATGTGCGTGCATGTGGGTACACACACACACACACACACACACACACACACACACACACACACGAGAGTGTGTGGGCAGAGGATAGTAGAAGGATTTGGAGTAAATGTGTCTAGAATTAAAATGATAGACTTAAAGGACAGAGTCAGAATTCAAACCTGTGTTTGTTCTATTTCAAGGCCCTCGTGCGGCTCCCATCAATTGTGTAGGGCCTTATGTGCAATGCTAAAGGCAGTCTGGACTGAACCCCACAGGCAATAAGGAGCACTGACTTTTTAAGATGGGAATGATTTGGATTATTTAGTACATTTTAAAGGTTATGGTATGGAGAAAGCTCAGGGATAGGTAAGGAGAGAAAATGGAGAGGAAGGAGAAGGAATCTAGGGCTTGCTAGCAATCTATTTGGCTGGAGTAATAGTCAAGTAATAGTCCCAAGTTTAAATCTTTTATCTTAGGGTTTCTATTGCTGTGAAAAACAAAGACAACAACAACAAAACATGACCATAAACATCTTGGTGAGGAAAGGGTTTATTTCATCTTACAATTCTCAGGTGCACTCCGTCACTTAGGGAAATATTATTTCAGGAAATATTATTTCAATAGGAGCAGAAGCCATGGAGGAGGGCTGATTACTGACTTGCTCCTGCTGGCTTTCTGTTTGCTTTGCTTCTTTCCCTCCTTCCTTCCTTCCTTCCTTCCTTCCTTCTCTTTTCTTTCCCTCTCCCTCCCTTTCTTTTTCTTTCCTTCCTCCTTCCTTTCTTTTTATCTTTTTAAGATAGGGTTTCTCTGTATAGTCCTGACTGTCCTGTAACTGTTCTGTAGACCAGGCTGATCTCGAACTCAGAGATCCACTTGCCTCCCAAGTACTGGGATTAAAGGTGTGTGCCATCACAACTTTCAGTTTGCTTTCTTATATAACTCAGGACCACCTACCCAGGGTTGGCACCTCCCATAGTGAGCTGGGCCCTCCCATATCAATCATCAACCAAGAAAATGCCCATAGACTTGCCCAAAGACCAATCTGGTAGGAACATTTTCTCAATTGAGGTTCCTTCTTCCCAAATGACTCTACCATGTGTCAAGTTGACATAAAACCAGACAACATCCCTCTGGCTCCTAGGACATCACAAGAAAATCCACCAAACCAACTAACCTAGGCTTATAGGGGCCCACAGAGACTGCACCAACAACCATATATGCATATATGTTACAGTTGTGTAGCTTGGCCTTCATGTAGAACTCCTAAAAGCGGTATCAGGAGCTATCTCTGACTCTTTTGCCTGTTTCTGGGACCCTTTTCCTCATACTAGGTTATTTCATCCAACCTCAGTATGAGGGAGGTGTCTGGTCTTACTGCCACTTGATATGTCATGTTTGGTTGATATCCATGGGATGCCTGCCACCTTTTTCTGGAGAGAAGCAGAGTGAATGGGGGATGGGCAGAGAGCAGAGGGGAGGTGGGGGAAGGGACTGGGAGGAGAGGAGGGGAAACTGCAGTCGGAATCTAAAAACAGAACAGCCAAAACATCTTTCAAGGATTTTTATTAACCAGAACCATCCAGACTCCTCAGGCAGCTTGCGTGGTCCTCTGCTCTCTGGCAGAGGTGTGTGACTGAATGTGTACCTCTGCCCACTGTGCCCGATCCTGTCCTTCCTGGGCACAGTCACCATTTTCCTTCCTTTGTCCTACTCAGCGGAAATACTGTCAAGTCGTCATCCTTCATCTCGATTCACTGGGTTTCCCCATTTACCATGCATACTCTGTTCTGACTACTCTACTAGGTCACCATCCTGGCTCCAGGGAGCTGACACTTTGACACGGAAGCTATAGCTGTGTGCATACCTAAACCGAGAGAGAACAGAAAGCTAGGTCCCTTTTTAATGAGGTGTAAATTGTCCCAGGGTTCCCGAGGATCCATACATTTGTAACTGATGCTCAGTCCTGCCTCACGGTATACAAACTGTTGGCTTCCATATCCATATATCCATATGTGTGTTCATGTGATTGTACAAGTGGACACATGTGCACATGTATGGGTTGCCCATGAGGTCGTCCAGCTGTCATCCTCAGTTGTTCACCACCTTTTTTTTGAGTCAGAGTCTTTCACTGAACCTGGAGCTCAACAACTCAGTTGGACTGGATGGCTAGCAAGTTCCAGGGCTCTATCTGCCTGTCTCTACCTTCCCAATACTAGGATTACAGATAAGTGCTGTCGTACCTTTAGCATGGCCTCTAGAGAGGTTCTGAGGCTTGTGCATCAGTATGCTAGTGAACCATCTCCCCAGTCCTTCCATGCCTTTCTTTCCCCCAAGCCAAGAACTTTGAATTTAAACAGAAAGAAACATAGCAAATTACAGTGAGTATTTCTCAAGACTCTCTTCCCAATATTCCACATAAGCAGTCTCCTTCATTACTTGGTGTTCCATGAAAATACTTCCCATAACCCTGCCATGGCCACTGATTTTCCCACTCTGGCTGGCCTGCCTCCTTTTTGAGACCTTAATCAGTTCTGAGAGGGCCAGTTCCTACATATGGCCACCAGAGGGCTCTTCTCAATACTTGGGATCCCACCAGCAAACTCACAAGGACTTCCACCTGGGTAACTAGCAATGAGAAGCATATTCTTTTGTTATTATTGAATCAGAGATTTTCTATCTGTTACAAGGTTCTTAGAGGAGAAAGCTGATCATATATATGTATGGTGCCTATAAGGATCACTTGTCCTGTTGTATCCAACAGTTTATTAGAAAAATACTATCTTCTAGGGGAGGTCAGAAAATTTTGGTTTAATGTTATGATTATAATATGTTCCCTGCATGACTGTAGAAGGGGAAATCCTTAGGTAAGCGTGGAATGAAGATCCCTAAGCCACCTCTGCCCTGGGGTTCAGCCTTACTTAGGTGGGACAATCCAATGCTGGTCACTGGTTCGTTCAAACCAAGATTCTCTGAACTTGGGAGACTATTCAAACAAGTTATATAGCCTTTGAACTATGATGAATTGTCTCATCAGGAAAACATTCAACACATCTGTCTCTCAAGTTAAACAAGCAACTATATGTGAAAGTGATTCGAAAAATATATAACCTGGAGCTGGAGAGATGGCTCAGAGGTTAAGAGCACTGACTGCTCTTCCAGAGGTCCTGAGTTCAATTCCCAGCACCCACATGGTGGCTTATAGCCATCTGTAATGAAATCTGGTGCCCTCTTCTGGCCTGCAGGCACACATACAGATAGAACACTGTATACATAATTAATAAATAAATCTCTTAAAAAAAAAGAAAGGAAAAACAGGATTTCCCAACTTAAAAAGGAAATTATATAACCCTGTGCCAGAATTTTATTATATCTTAATCTCACTGTTAGACTACTTTCCGGAATGAGGATGAATACACAAAATGAGCAAATCACACATATCACAAACAATCAGGGTCTTTTAACTACTAAAGACAATACCAGAAGATACCAAGTTTCAAATGACTTAAACAGAAATTACTCTGTAGCTGGGCATGATGGGAAACACCTGTAATCTCAAGGCTTAGGTGATCAAGGCAGCAAATCTCACAAGTCCACCCTTGGCTATGCCAGTATATAGTGAGTTTGAGGTCAGTCTGTGCTACACGAGGTCCTGTCTCAAAAAAAAAAAAAAAAAAAAAAAGAAAAGAAAGAAAGAAAAGAAAAGTCACGTGGTGGCATGTGCCTTTAATTCCAGCACCCGAGAGGCAGGGGACGGGAGGTAGGATGCAAGAGGCAGAGGCAGGCAGTTCTCTGTGAGTTTGAGGCCAGCCTGGTCTGCAAAGTTGACCAAGAGAACCAGGACTGTTACACAGAGAAACATTGTCTTGAAAAAAAGTGGGGGGTGGGGGATCTCCTTATATTTTTCAAGAAAAAAATGTCCTGTTATTTGACATAAATTAGGAAGAAAAGAATCACCTCAAACTCAGAAGAAAATACTCATTGGGCTCTTGAGTTATTACCATGCCATCTTACAGCTTCACATTTTTACATTTTGTGATTGATTCCGTCTATTTTCGAATACTGTCCCAAGCAAATCAGATAGTATTTTTCTGGGTACTCAAGTGTAAAGAAAAGTTGGCTACGAGGTTTGGATTTTGAAGGCAGCACTCTTCTTTATGTGACAGACCCTAGATAACCTGAAGGAAGGGAAGCACCACCTCCGTGTGCGGCCTGCAGACATTCCTGTTGCAGAGCGAGCATCTCTGAACTACTGGCGGACATGGAAATGCATTAGCAAACCCTCCGAGTTTCCAATCAAAAGCCCAGCCTTCACAGGTACAGTCATGAGTAAGCCACAGTGAATTCACTAACGCCCTCACTCCTCACCCCAGCAGAAGCTGACTTCCATCTCAGCTAACTCTGGTGACATCTCTATTTCTCAGTCATCTGTTTTGACTGGTCACCTGTCCTCTGCATGGCTGCATGCCTACTGGAACTCAGCAGCCTGCTCCATTCCATTCTGCTGCATCTCAGCTTCATTTAGGCTGGGTGATGTTTTCCAGTCTCTCCTGTCATCATTTCAAATTACCTCCAGCCACCATACAAAGATACCCAAGTGATCTCAGACTTCTAAGTCCCTTGCAGTATAGGCAGGCCTATGGTGGGACATCAGGAATTCATGGTTATTAATAGGTTTTAGGCTTCCAGAGGAGTCAAAAGCATTTATCTCATTTCTAGTTAACAGAAGTTGGTTTGATCAATTAATTAGAGACCATGGAAGGGCTAGAGAGAGGATTCAGTGGTTAAGAGCACTTATTGTTTTTGATGAGGACCCAGCACCAACATGGCAGCCCACAACTGTCTTAACTCCAGTTCCAGAGAATCTGATGCCCTCATCTGGCCTTTATATGGTGCACATATATGCATACAGGCAAAATACCCACAATTATAGATACAAATAAATCCTTTTATTAAAGACATATAGATAGATAGATAGATAGATAGATAGATAGATAGATAGATAGATAGATAGATATACAGTATTCTGCCTGCACGCCAGAAGAGGGCATCAGATCTCTCTTCTCACATCATGATTGTGAGCCACCATGTGGTTGCTGGAAATTGAACCCAAGACCCCTAAAAGAACAACCAGTGCTGTTAACCTCTGAGCCATCTCTCCAGCCCCGGTAAAAATAAATCTTAAAGAAGAGACATGGATAACTGAATTTAGTGACTCTGGGTATATAAGCCAAAATGTCGTATCATTCAAAATCTGTTTACTGTCTGTAGAAAAAACAACAATGCAAAACATATTTCTTGTGCCTAGCTTTCCAGAACATTCCTTCTTAACCTGAAGTCTTCATCTGGAAAGAGAAAAGGGGGAAAGAAGCATATGGCAGAGACTGTCCCCTGGTGGTCTCCATCTTCCTCTGGGACCCCTGGGTCAGTGGGAGCACTGGCCTCAGGGAGGTGGTGACACCTCTGTTCACTGTCTTCCAGGTCTTCATGATAAGGCACCTTTGGGACTCATGGACACACCACTGTTGGACACAGAAGAGGAAGTGCACTACTGCTTCCTGCCCCTCGACCTGGTAGCCAAGTATCCAAGCCTAGTGACAGAAGACAACCTGCTGTGGCTGGCCGAAACCGTGGCCCTGATCGAATGCGAGTGCAGCGAGTTCCGCTTCATTGGTGATTGCTCTGTCTAGGGGTAGCCATCTGCCCTTTCCAAACCCCTACTCACACCTAACAAGGGCCTGAGGACCTTCTCCGAGTGGAGGTTGTGAAACACATAATCTTCCAAGAGGCAGGCAGAGTCCATCATTAAGCTCTCCATAGCTCAGAGCTTTTTTGTTTTGTTTTGTTTTTGAAACAGTCTCTCTCTATAAGCCTGGCTATCCTGGAACTCACACTGTAGAGTTGCAGTATGGGAGGGCAGAGAAAAACACTAAGTCCCTGTGTGAACAACTCAGAGATTCCGAAGCGCGGCACAACTTTCTAGGTGACTTTGAATCTGGCCTTGAACTCGCAGAGATCTGCCTGCCTCTGCTTCCTGAGTGCCACCATGTCCAGCCTAGTTCGGAGCTTTTTTAGCTCCTATTTCTTCTGTGATACCCTAGCTATAAAGGGGCACTGGAACTCCCTAAAGTAGTGTTAATGACCACAGGAGTTGATGGTAAGGACAAAGGACTGAGCTGAAGTCTGGTTGCTTATACTTCACTTATGTCTCTAGCTAGTCTAGGCCTCAACTGCTCTCGCCATACAACAAGGAAATAAGGTTGTTTCAAAGATCTTACCTACCCTCCCTTCTATTACACTCTAAGTGCAAAGAAAGGGGGTAAATGATGATAGTTTCTCCAGAGTCATATAGAATGGGCAGCTTGAGCTAAGGAGGGATGAGCGCTCTCATCCAGCTCAGAAGGGAGCCTCCCTTCCCACGCTGCCCCAGGACCATCTTTGCTGGCCTGTGAACTGAATAGCCACTCCACTATCTAGACAACCCGAGCAGTAGACAAGCACCTAAATGGACAGAACAATAAACACTAACTTATGTCAGGGGCCCAAATGCCTGCGGCCCAGCTATCCAGATTCAAAGTCACCTAGGAAGTTGTTGTGCCGTGCTTCAGAATCTCTGAGTTGTTCACACAGGGACTTAGTGTTGTTCTCTGCCCTCCCATACTGCAGTCCAGCAGGGACACCTGGCAGCCCAGCCTTGGCCAGGTCTGGCCTCTCCTCTCTAACAAGACTACTCCCTCTTTTGGAATGACCTGCTCTTGGGTCAAGACTCTCAGGGCAAGTCTCAGGGCCTTTGTATTCACTAAGAGGGCCTGGGAGTGCCAGGCCAGGCCAGGGGCAATCACACCCATGGACTCAGACACAGGAAAACAAAGTAATCTGGGGTCTTGAAAACCACTGCCTCAGAGCAAACCTAATCAGGTATGTTTAGCAATTGTTTCCAAATGAGGAGAGCCTAACATGAGATGAAGCACTAAAAATCTGCCAGGACATGGAAAGATTAGTCATGAATATGCTTTGTTAACTCATGTTGTTTCTCTTTGCTTTTCAAGTGAACTTTCTCCGCTCACACAAGATCCTACTACCAGACAACTTCTCCAACATGGATGTGTTAGAAGCAGAGGTAGAAATCCTGGAAATCCCTGAGCTTACTGAAGCTGTACGACTGTACCGGATGAGTATGGGTATGATGCCCAGGAACTTTGATCTCCTCTTGATATTCTAGAACAGTCTGGGCTTGAGCTACAGAAGCCAAAGGCAAACATCTCCCATTACAGCCACTTTGGACTTGGGTGGTAGTGAGAAACAGGCATTGTGACTGACTTAGAATCTAAGAAAAGAAGTTTGGCTTAAAACCCCTTATGCCCTCTCTACTCAGCGTTACGATCAAAGCTAGGGCCAAAGGGAGGCCTGCTTAGACTGGAGCAGGAGGAGCCCAACCTTGGGTGGGAAACCAAGCTGCAATGTCCTGAGGAGCAGGCTGAGCCTGAGGACAAACTTCCTAAGCAGGTGCTGTCTGTTCCTCTGTGGAAATCCTGGACTTCTACCTGCGGCTCCCATCTTTCCTCCTCCAGGAACAGCTAAAGAAGAAAGGATTGGGCATGTTTTCCACTAGTTCTTCAGTTACCCAAGCCCAATTCCCCTTCCCCCTCACCGCCTTGTTTCACATTCTTTGATTTCTCCGCCTGTTTCTGCTTGTTCCTAACAGTTCCTGACCCTTGTCCAGGTCAGGCCTTTGTGCTCCTGACTTTGCCTCATTCCAGCTGCTCCTCTTGACAGTTTTGATTTGCCTTTTATCAGCTCATTCACCAGCTACTGCGCACCCATGGAAACCTCCATGTGTGCTTCAGGAAGCTAGCTGCATGGGTGTGGGCAGACACAGACAGGGGAGGTGAGGGGGCAGCTGGCCTTCTGAGAGCTCTCAAAACAACAACAAAAGTAGAGAACTATCTTACACATGTGAAGTGTGGCCTGGTTGTGTGCTTGTCCCATGGAATGAGGCTCAGCCTCTCCCCAGGCTAATGGAATGTGCTCTCTGTATGGGAGGAGTGGTATTCTGCAGCCAGTCTCCCGAACCTGTTCCAAGACCTAGTTTACTAAGAAGGATTTCAGTTCAGCTCCTGCCCCAGCAGCTTCTGGTTCTCAGAAAGCATGGGTGTTAGGATGTGGGAGAGTGTCACAGGTCATTGCTCCTCATAGGCAATGAAAAGATGGCAGTATATTTACAGACAGGCTTTCCTCAAACACATGAGGTATTAGCCTTTTATAAAGCATCACAACCAAGGCTCTTTCATAGCCGTGGAAGGGCACAGCTCAGACCCCAGCCCTGTGTAACTCGAAGTCACTGGTAATCTGTCCTAACCTACAATGTCAGGCAGGGCTGCGGATAGTTTGTTCATCTGTAGACTTCTGATAGGCATGCTCTGAGGACTGGAAATAAGATATGAAAATCCTCCAACAGGAGGAACATGGCTGTGCACACCTCTAATCCCAGCACTTGGGAGCCAGGCAAGAGGATCACATGTTTGAGGACGGCCTGGTGTATATAGTGATCCAGTTTCTTTTTTTTTTTTTTTCTCTCCTTTTTTTGGTTTTTCAAGACAGGGTTTCTCTGTGGCTTTGGAGCCTGTTCTGGAACTAGCTTTGTAGACCAGGCTGGCCTCGAACTCACAGAGATCCACCTGCTTCTGCCTCCCGAGTGCTAGGATTAAAGTCGTGTGCCACCACTGCCTGGCAGTGATCCAGTTTCAAAAAGAAAAAAAAATCAAAAACTACTAGAAGCTTCTCAGCTGGCTCAGTGTTCCTACTGTGCCACCTCTCAAGTTTTAGCTTCTAAACTTATTAAGTATACACCAACTTCTACTAATGTTAAAGTAATCCAGATTTGGACTGTATAAACAAACAACTTCCATCTCACCACTTAAGTCCTAATGGGGTAGCAGGAGGACCCAGAGTGTTCAGTTCGGGTATGATCAAAGATCTAGAAGTCATCCCTCTCTCCCTAACACAGGTGGTTGTTCCCGGGCCTCCTGTCCTCCTCCAAGCCCTGGGAAGGGGGGCCGTACAGCTAGTCTGGAGTCGGTGAAACCACTGTACATGATGGCACTGGGCCTTCTGGTCAAGTATCCAGACTCTGCACTGGGACAGCTTCGCATTGAGAGCACACTGGATGGAAGCAGACTGTACATCACAGGGAACGGGGTCCTCTTCCAGCATGTCAAGTAAGTCCCAGTCTCTCTCATGGAAACATTTTGTCCATTGTCTGGGCTCTGCCCATCTTGGAACATCTTGGGATGTCCTTATCTTGGGAAACAACTCTAAGCCTTTCCCATGAGCTAAGGGGAAAGTGTCTTTGGGAAACCTCACTATTTTCCCTCTTCTGTCACCATCACCACCAGGTTTGGGCCTCTGAGGAACAGGCTGAGATAATTTACAAAATTCTCCAGGATTCAAAGGCTCTAGGTGTTCCATTTTCTGTTTTCTGTCAGTCATTTCCCAATGCTCACTCTGAGGTTACCAGGCCACAGTCATACATTCGGAGTCCTGGATACCCCAAGCAAACCTCTTTGCAAGCAAAGGCTCTATCCAGCCTTAGGAGACTGGAGCCTAGGGTGATCACTTGAGAAACAAGGCAGGGCAGGCTTTCCAGAGGACGTGGTCCCTTAAGAAATGAGCTCAGAATGCCCGTTAGTACCAGGGCACGGATCACTTTACATTTCTATAGAAGGTTAAAAAGCCCAACTCTGAATGCTACAAAACTCATTAGTACCAAAGCTGAAGACAGGAGTGGGTTTCCCAGTTCTTGGGGAAAGGGTTACCTGACCTAATTGTGTCATTTTAGAACCTTTCAGCCCATCTCTCCCTGACATGTCCACTTACAATGTCCCAGAAGGCAAATACAAATGCTTTTGAAAGAGGGTTGGACCAGAGGACTGGTGTTCAGACCTTAGTCTCTCTCTAGGTACAAAGGATGTTAGTAATCTCTCAAAGTCATAGTAGGAGCCATACCGTGAACCAGAGGTCTCCAGCACTAGTGGCTGGGTTTCGGTCTAGCCTGGATCCGAAGGCATGAAATGAACAGGGTGGATCAGCCTTACTGAGAAAGGTCTGAAGGGGCTGCACGTGTGTCTAGGCTCATTCTCTTTCAAGAATCCCCAAGCTAAATCAAGGAAATGATTCTTCTGGTGCCACACTTGAAAGTTTCGTGACAAGACACCCTGATCATGGTAGGCTTACAGGCCAAACTCCTTTACGGTATAGTAACTACAGGGCTTCACAATAGGTTTTTCTTTGGGTAGGAATTGGCTGGGCACTTGCCGGCTGCCCCTGACTGAGACCATCTCTGAGGTGTATGAGCTTTGTGCCTTCCTGGACAAGAGGGACATCACCTATGAGCCAATGAAAATGGCTCTGAAGACTCATCTGGAGCCGAGGACTTTGCCACCCATGGATGTGCTCAGTAAATGTTTACTTTATTGTGCTCAAACACAGTAAAGCTTCTGGGTTTGAAATTGTATCAAGGGACGGTCTAGAGGCTAGAGAGGAAGGGAGAGGAGAGCCAGAGCCAAGAAGTGTAAATGGGAGAGAAAGGAAAGGTAGGCCGAACTTTCATGTTATGATGCTGTGTGCCCTCTCCTCACCAGTTCCACACCATATCTCAAAATTAGACAGGATGCCTCGTCTGGGGCTTCACAGATCCCCAAATGCACGGCTCTCCTAGTCCCTGGAGCTAACACAAGCTGCCATTTGTTTCTCACAGCCAGGCAGAAAGAAATGGCCCATGAATCCATTTAGAATGGAGCAGAGACACAAGGATGGATTTGTCAAATTAAAATTGCACAGTGATCAAACATGGGTCTAAGTTGTCCAAATGCAATGTTGTTTTAGTTACACGAACTCTTTTTTTTTTTTTTTTTTTTGAGAGAGAGAGAGAGAGAGAGAGAGAGAGAGGGTTTCTCTATGTAGCCCTGGCTGTCCTGACACCTATTGTGTAGACCAGGCTTAGCTTCAAACTCACAAAGACCCACCTGCCTCTATCTCCCAAGTGCTGTAATTAGTGTGTGCCACTATGCCAGCTGGTTAATAAACTCTTATTAACATGTTTTTCTGTAAAGTTTATGCTGTATTTCTATCACTCAGCAACACTCAGCATTTACTGAGCACCACCATATAACTTGGGCTCAGTTCTTCTCTTATGGAGTTTACAGTCTCCTGTATGAAAACAGGGACTCCTAGTCCATCCTGAGTAGACGCGTGAAAGGTGCACACCTAGGACATGACCAGCCACAGAACAGGGGGAGCTGGCAGTGCACATGGACAGGAGCAGCATCCTAGCTTGCAAAGGAAGAAGGAACAGGGCCTTTGGAATTAGAATGCACCCAAGATAGCAGCCTAGTCCCAGAGCTGTCATTCCGAGTCGTTCTCACTCTCCTGGAAGTGTGTGAGCAGCAGAGGTTTGTTTCTCAGATAGGCAGGACAATATGAGGCTTGAGAGTATGGAATCTTTCCATGCAAACACTATTGACCAAAATGTCCTACTGTTTCTCCTTCTTGTCATATGATATGTTCCTTCTCACTGACTTCCACAGATGAGGAGTGGACAGCAGAGGTCACTATCTATTCACCCCAACAGATCATCAAGCTTTATGTTGGAAGCCATTGGTATGCAACCACCCTGCAGACCCTGATGAAGGTACTGGTAGACCCAGCTGTTCTCCCACTTTGACTTCCCCACTTGAACATCTTTGGGACTTGTAACATGATCTTCACACAGCTTCTGGCACTGCTTAGCCAAAGAACCTTTCCCCAGCTCCCTTGCCAAGAATGCCCTGATTCTGTGGGTGTGAAGAGTAGCATGTTTGGAAGGCTTCAGGATGTGGGTAGAAAAGAGGCTGGTTCTCGGGGGCCTGTACCAAGAAGGAGGTAGGGTTGAGTTCCAAAGCCCAAGAGTAGGTAGGGGATCTACCAGTTGAAGAGGAGGCGATTTCCCTAGATTCTCTCCACTTTTTATCTCTATGGCCAATATACAGAGAGATGGAAATCCAAAAACTTACTCCTTACTAAAATGCGAGACCTTGGGACTGGTTCTGATGTCTAACCCTCTTCTAGTATCCAGAACTGCTATCCAACACTCAGAGAGTGTACTGGATCACCTATGGACAGACCCTGCTCATCCACGGTGATGGCCAAATGTTCCGACACATTCTCAACTTCCTGAGACTTGGAAAACTGTTTTTACCATCAGAATTTAAGTAAGTAAACCCAGGAAATCAGATTATGAAGGTTGACTCTGCAGCTAGAACAGCCCTCAGCTGTAGCCTTTCGGGAAGAGGTTCGATTATTTTCAACATGGGCATTACTGTTCAAGGCATCTTCTTTAGGGTTCATGTCTCCTCTCGCCCCCAGTCTACCATCTCCTTGTCATTTGCAGGGAATGGCCTCTCTTCTGCCAGGAGGTGGAGGAATATCATATTCCAGCCCTCTCAGAAGCCCTTGCACAGTGTGAGGCATACAAGTAAGCAAAGTGCTCTCTAGATCCCACATTTAGAACCTGGACCTCGACAAACTCCTCTTAGAATTGTCCTCACCTGCTAGTGAGACTTCCTCTCCTCATAGCTGGGGGAGGAGGTTGGTGAAATGGGCTCAGAAGTAGCCAGTGTCCTACGCAAAACTCTTTAAAGGTCCCCTTTTTGCCACTGACTATAATTACTAATTCCTGCTCAACGGACAGGCCTGATCAATTAGCTATTAGGCTGATGGAAGCTTCCCCTCACTAACCAATCCCTCTTGGTCTCTGTAGGTCATGGACTCAGGAAAAAGAATCTGAAAATGAAGAAGCTTTTCCTATTAGGAAGCTGCATGTGGTGAAAGAAGGAACAGGGTCGATGGCAGAGTTCAGTAGAGATGCCAAGGAAGTAAGTCCCAGCTTTCTTTGGTTGGTATCGTTTTCAAACATCACCACCAAAGGGCTCACAGGACAGGCCTAGCTACTGAGTGGCTAGTATAGTAAAGGAGGTCCCACATGAATTACTGGTACAAAAACTGATTTCTGAGCCTTGAGGAGGCACAGAGGTATGCTAGCCACTTGTGCCCTGGGATGATAATCTTTCCTTTTGGAACATAAAAGTTGCCTGGGCTGGTACCACGCCCTCTCAGACTGAGTAAACTTGAATGGCAATCCATCTCAGGGGATAAGATTGTTCTGGATAAAAAAGCTGTCTTAAAGCCCAGCTTATTAGGTCTTGGGGAGACTTTGATAATGTACAACAGGCCCACAGCTACTGTGCCTCTCCCTCCCCAGACCACAACCTGCATGCCTGTGGACTTCCAAGATTGCGGTGACAGGACTCCATGGAACAAGGCCAAAGGGAACCTGACCAGGTCCAGCAAGGTGGAAGAGGCTGAACAGTATACCCGTACTATCCAGGTCTCCCTATGCAGAAATGCCAAGAGGGGGGGCAATCCCAGCACATACTCACACTGTTCTGGCTTATGTGCCAACCCCAGACACTGGGGAGGTCACTCTGAGAGCCCTCCCAAGAAGAAGTGTACCACTATAAACCTCACACAGAAATCTGATGCCAAAGACCCTCCTGTCACCCCCATGCAAAAGCTCATCTCTTTGGTAAGGGAATGGGACATGGTCAACAGTAAACAGTGGGAATTCCAGCCAGTGGCAGCCTCCCGGAACAGCACTTTGGAGGAGGCTACCCTGCATGTCCCCTCAGGAAGTGAGGCTGCTTCCCAACCTGGTACCTCAGCTGCCTGGAAGACTCATTCCATAAACTCAGAGAAGGACACTGGTCCCCAGACTGGGCCTGGAGCTGGAGCTGGAGTGAAAGACAAGGGTCCAGAGCCAACTTTTAAGCCATACTTCCCCACAAAGAGAGCTGTTGCCCTAAAGGACTGGGGCAAACAAAGGCCCAAGGAGAGAGGTTAGTCTTGCTCCATCCTTGACCCAAGTCTCATTTCCAACCAATACTAGATTCCTGGCTAAGACTACAGAGAGTTAGTGACAGAGCAGGGACCAGAACCTCCTAGTTGCTGATGCCAGCTCTGTGCCAGGCAGCACATACAGAAATGAGTGGCCACATAGGTGAAGTGATGAGTATTTTGTGGAAGGCGAACCCAGGGGATGAGAGCACTGGGGAGTCAGCAGGGCGAGAACATTTAGGGTGTCTGTGGAAGCACAGGGCACTTCTCTGGCTGGAACCTGGTTTCCGGTGCACAGGCCATAGAAATGACAGGAGTCATATCAGGCTAGGTCTTGTGGGCCAAGTTCAGAATGTGGGGCTCTGTTCTGACTTCAAGAGGGATGGACAGCCCCTGAAAGGTGTTTTTAAAGGGAGCACATGATATGTTTCTGGAGCTTGCTCAGGGACAGAGGAAGTGTGATTGTAAGACAGTATCAGAAGCATGGATGCATTCCAGACCAGGCAAAGGAGGCTGAGCAGTGGAGCAAGGCAGGGAGACAGAGGTGTCAAGAGCCTGGTATCTAGGTTGGCTGTGGCAAGCGGAAGGGTCCTTATTGGAGTGCGTGAACAAAAGAAACTAGATTTCTGGGAAAAACACACATGGCATGTGAGATGCTAAGGCCCATCCAGGAGGGCCTAATGGGAACTGAGCTTAAGAGAGTTTGTGGCCAGTGGTGGAGAGAAAATCCAGGAAAGTTTGCTGAGAAGGGCCATGTTAGATTATTCCCTCCAGCTACAGAACTCCCTCCTATAGTACTCTGATACTCTTATCACCTACTCTTTGGTTTTTCAAGACAGGTTTTTTAAAAAAAAAATTATTTATTACGTATACAATATTCTGTCTGTGTGCATACCTGCAGGCCAGAAGAGGGCACCAGACCCCATTACAGATGGTTGTGAGCCACCATGTGGTTGCTGGGAATTGAACTCAGGACCTTTGGAAGAGCAGGGAATGCTCTTAACCTCTCAGCCATCTCTCCAGCCCAAGACAGGATTTCTTTGTAGCTTTGGAGCCTATCCTGGAACTCCCTCTGTAGACCAGGCTAGCCTAGAACTCACAGAGATTCACCTGTCTCTGCCTCCCAAATGCTGGGATTAAAGGCATGCACCACCACCACCTGGTGATACTAGTCTCTTTAAAAAAAAAAAAAATATTTATTTTACATTCTGGCTGCAGTTTCCCCTCCCTCCTCTCCTTCCAGTTCCACCCTCTCTAACCCCCAATCCACTGCTACTCGGTTTCTGTTTAGGAAAAAGCAGGTCTCCCATGAGGATACTAGTTTCTTAGAGTTCTGAAACTTAGGATTGGGTTTGCAACAATGCCAGGATAATGAAGTGGTGAGGCCAGGGTACCACTTCCAAAAAGCAGAGACTTCTGAAGTTTTGAGTGAATGACTGTTCCAATCTGTCCCCAGCAGAAGGCTCCTCTCTGCCTGCATTTCAAGCCTAGGCTCCTAAGCCTAAGAAGAACCCCTCTATTGTTTTCACAGAAACCCCTGCCCCTGAGCAGCCTCTGCCTACTGTTAATGGGACAGACAACCCAGGAGCCATCCTCAAAGTCACTCACCCTCCTGTGGTGGGTAGTGATGGCTCCTGCATGTTCTTTGAAGACAGCATCATCTATACCACCCAGATGGACAACATCAAGCATACATCACTCACAGCCAGCCCCCAACCTCGAGGTGAGGCTTTGTAGCTATGCCTGGCCCTGTACTTTGCTTGTGAAGATGTAGAGCCCACACCCAAGAGCAAATGTCCCTTGAAAGCTCTGCCCTTTCCCCTGCCCTGTGGCTGTCTCTAAGGCCTCGACTATGAGCAGCTTTAGCTATATCTACTCTTTCTCCTTCACAGAAGTGACTTTCTTGAGTTTCTCTTTGACCTGGGAAGAGATGTTTTATGCACAGAAATGTCACTGCTTCCTGACTGACATCATCCTGGATTCCATCAGGCAAAAGGACCCCAAAGCTATCACAGCCAAGGTGGTGTCCCTGGCCTACAGGCTATGGGTATGTATGACAGGCCTTGGGGCACCCTGCTTCTTCCCAATGTATCTCCTTGCCCTTGCAAAAAGTAATAGAAGACAAGAGGAGGGGAGAAGGCAGGGACAGAAGAATAGCTGGAGAGGCAGGCATAGAAAAGCAGAAGAAGGGAGCTGTCCATGGCCCTGCCTGACTGTAGGCTCTCTTGGTAGACGCTGAACATCAGCCCCAAGCAGTTTGTGGTGGATTTGCTGGCCATCCCTGGCTTCAAGGATGACCGGCATACTCAGGAGCGTCTGTACAGCTGGGTAGAGGTAAGGCCTATATGTCCTGTATAGGGACTGGCAACTCTGTAAATGCCTTATATGGGTACTGTTGTCAGGCTAGTACTGTCATCTGGAGAGCTGGCCAGCTAAGTCAGTGGTCTCTGGTCCCACAGAGGTAGATGGCTAAAATTAACCAATCAAGGCTAGTCAAAAAGCAAAAAAAAAAAAAGAAAAAAAACTATTTTCATAGTTTTCCTTTAATGACACCAACTATGCCTTCACCACTAACAACCCTGGCCATACTTGGGAAGCACATATTAACTCAATGTGGACACGGAGGTAGGCCTTTAGGACCAGTAATAGCTAGTCCCTACTTAGCTATGATACCACCATATTTTTATATACTTAAGCGCCTCTACAGTGTTTTATTTTTTAAGAATTTTTATTTTATGTGTATGGGTATTTTGCCTGCTTGAATGTTTGTGTACTGTGCGCATGCAGTACCCTCAGAGGCCAGAAGAAGGCGACAGACCCTTGGAAACTGAAGTTACCATTGTTAGCCACCATGTGAATGCTGGGAACCAAACCCCAGTTCTCTGCTAGAGCAACAACTGTTCTTAACCACAGAACAATCTTCCCAGCCCCTAGAGCATTTTCTAAAAACATTTTTGGGGTTTTGAGGGGCTGGGATAGGGTCTCCCTATCTATCCTGGCTGTCCTAAAACTCACTACATAGGTTACACTGACCTCAAACTCACAGAGATCAGCCTGCCTCTTCCTTCCAGTGCTGGGATTAAAGGACTACACTACTATGCTTGACTGAAAAACATTTTTTTAAAAAAAAAAAAAAAGAAAAAAAAGGGCAAAAGAATGGTCAAGGTTGTAGAATCCTTCCCCCTGTTTATTTTGCTGCACAGGGCACTGAACCCAGGCAAGTCCACACGCTAGCAGGCTCCTTTTTAAAGTCTGAGACACAGTTTAGCTATGCTGCCTATTTGGACCTTGAACTCATTTTGTAGACCAAACAAGATTTTAATTTGTTTTCTTTTCTGATTCTGTAGAATTTCAGCATTATATGTGTCAAAGATTTAGCAAATTTCTCAGTAACCTGGCTTTTTATAATCAAGTACATAACGATAATGATGTTCACCTCAAACACACGACTGCCCAATTACTGGCACTTCTCCAGCTTGTGTGTTCTTTATAAAGGTAAAGTCAGCGGTTATGGCTAGAAAGTGGACACAAGCGCCAGAAAGCACAGTTTTTACTGTCATTGTGGTCAGCTCTCTGAGAGCCAGAGCCCTGTGAGAGCGTTAGGGCAGAACTGAGCCCCAGAGTTCCAAAGGAACCCTGTAATGAGGTTTTCTCTTTGTTTCCCCTACCCAGATGAGGGAGTCCCCAGAGCTAGACTAGCTGACTGCCTAGAAACCAGGGATAAGATAGGCCTTTCCTTGCAGCTCACACTGCCTTTCGCCAGAAAGTATGGCCGCTGCGTGGACCTGCTCATCCAGAGGGGACTGTCTAGGTCTGTCTCGTACTCAGTCCTGGGCAAGTATTTACAAGAGGGCTAGAGTACCAGAGATGTTGGTCATTGTAACTGTGGAATGCCCAGAATGCACATGCTCAGCCAATGACACAAATCACTCTATTTTTTATTTTAAACAAATAAAAGTAAATTACAAGACAAATGCCTAGACTCCTTCTCTGAGAAGACTGAGAGTCAGTGACCAGTGGAATCAGTAGATAAGTCTAACTCCAAGTTGTTCAGAGAGCATCAAGTCCAGATGACCAAAAAACAAGAGGCTGGAGATAGGGAGCCAATGAATTCAAGAATAAGGGGGCCTATCAATGGGTTTTTTATCCTACTGCACCTATTGGTTTGGTGGGAGGTCCTTGGACTTCCCACAGGACAGGGAACCCTGATTGCTCTTTGGGCTGACGAGGGAGGGGGACTTGGTTGGGGGAGGGGAAGGGAAAGGGGAGGCAGTGGTGGGGAAGAGACAGAAATCTTTAATAAATAAATAAAATTTAAAAAAATTAAAAAAAAAAGAATAAGGGGGCCTATATGGGGCAGGCTGGTCCCTGTGTTTGGAGAGACCAGCACTGAGTTCAAAGGTTAAGGAGCAGCTGCTGGGAAGCCACTTGGGTCCTCATAACTGAGAGCTCCATAGTACTCTGCCAGCCTAGAGTCTGGAAATACTCAGCTTCTGTCCCATCCTATCCTTAACTTACAACTGGGGTGGTAGCTGGAGGGAATAGAAGGATCCCAGGAACTTGGGATCAAGGTGCTCATCTGGCTTTGTAGCCAGATGCCCTTGGAAAGGCATTAGGCCAGTCAGTTGGTGGCTACAGACATTAGAAAGGATAACAAGAAGGCTATTCCTATTAGGTATGAGGGGTTGCAGTGGGGATGGCCCAGTAGCCAGCCATGCACTGGTTATAGTAGATTCAGAGGTGTGCTATTCCTTGGAGTTACTGGATGGCTGTTGTATCTACTGTTCATCTTCAAGCCGGACTCAAACCTATGGTGCCAAGTCAAGCATGAATGCTTTGTTTCTCTGGTTCTAGGAGTGGAGATGGGGTCATCTGGGGAATGGCTCTGACCCCACCCATTTCCAGCTCCCCTAAAGAAAAGGCAGCTATTGCCCAGGGTAAGTTAGGGAGGGGTGGGTGAGCATAAGGCAAGAGATGGCACTCACACAGGACAAGTCCTCAAGGCCTCTGGTCAGGGTCTGTCCTGACACACAGCTGCTGTCAGAACCACTAGAGCCACTGGCTGATGGGCACTGGGATGAGACCTCTGAGTCCTCAGGAGCTAGGGAAGAGGATCGGGCTGTCAGCAGAGGAGGCCTAGACCCAAGCCACGCCTCCTACTTCTGACTGTCAGAGCCCACACATACTTAGAGAGGGGTAGCTGCCCAACTCTGCCTCAGCTTCCAGCGCTGCTTCCTCTGGGAAGTTGGGGGGATACAGGCACCAGGGAACACCCAGAAGAGCGGGATCTCTGTACAGGTGCAGATTGAGAGACCCCACAACAGAACAAGAGGCACGGTCTCCAGGAAGGGAACTCAAGGCACCCATATAGGGGTTGTCATACTCAAATGGAGCCACGGCAATGGAGGCCCTAGAGCGAACACCTGTGTAGGAAAGAGGGGCAGATTAGAGTCCAGTCTGGCCTGAGGTCGCCAGGGAAGCACAGTCCAGGAGTGGGAAAAGGCCACATTGCCTCCTCACTCCCACCCCCTGTAGGATATCCACTACCTCGTCTCTTTAGGACATAGTCGATGTTGCGGTCACTGATAGCTTCCTCACTGGGGGCAATGTCCCAGAAGGCCTTGTTCCCCACACCCATGGATGCCATCTCAGCCATGCGCACCTCTGAGTAGAGAATAAAGGCCTAAGTGAGGCCCCCCTGGGCCGTATCTAATATAGACCCATAGCCCAGAAATTAGCCATCCCATCCCATGATCCTTTCTGGTGCCAGACTTTCTGCTCCCAAGCACCCCTGGGAAAGTTATAATAATGTTCCTTTCAGGGCATAAGACCTCTGATACGCAGAGAAAACTTCAAGTTCTTTCCCTTGTACTGTCTGCTGCTGCACCTCACCCTCCTCCCAAGCTTTTCCAAGTCCCTAGACATCCTGTCTCTGGCAGGATGCACTCTAAGGGCCTCACCCTCTTCCCAGAGAGTGTGTAAGGACCCTAAACCTTTCTCAGGCTCCTGGAAGGACATATACTCTTTGGGCTTGTACAAGGACTCACCCTTGTTGCGGACAGCCTGCCTCCAGAGCAGGCGGGAGATATCAGCTGTCCAGGCTTGTTTGGTGGCCACATCAGAGGCCTGCAGCACAAACAGGTCCCTGGCCTTGCGACGACGGAACCATATCTCAAAGCGCAGCTTGTTTTCCCCACAGCATTCAGTGAGGCCAAGGTCGGCCATCTACATGGCCAGGGGAAAGGGGCTTAGTGAGGAATAGATGGGGGGCTGGAGGCAGAGCTCAGGATCATGCAGACTCACTTTGAAGGAACGCTTGTAGGTAAATATGTCAACACCTGCAGGCCCACGACGAGGCTTGCTGAAGAGCAGCAGCTCCTCAAAGAGAAAAACACGACGACAGGCCTTATGGCGCCCAGCCCGCACTGTGAACTCATCCTGTCGCACCAACTGCCCCTGTTCCTTGAGGTTAACCTGCAAAGTTGAAGTCCAGTAGATGTCCAATCGTTCCAACCCCCTCTTCTACACCCAGGGTGCTTCCCCAGATGGCCTGGGATGACTCACGTCACAGCCTTGGATGGCATCCATGGCTAGCAGGTCATTGCCATGTCTCAGTTGGAAGTGCACAAGGCTCTGGGCTGCCTGAAGGGCACCCAGCTCTTGTGCGGGGCCCCCACAGGCCCTTGCTAGCTCCTGCAGTAGTAAGGCATATTTGCTCATGCGCTGGATGGGCTTTAATAGGTAGGAAGCCAAATCCAGGTGGTCTCCCAGTGCTTGCTGCTTTTCCTGCCACATAAGTGGGAGATCACAAAGGGTTTTGGAGTATGCCACCATCCCGTTCTTCCTCGCCTTAGGCTCCTACCTTGAAGAAGGTGTGACCATAGCTGCTCATCAGGGCATCAGAACGAGGTTTATTCTTGCTGTAGAGTGCATACATCCCAAACTGCACCCTCTACAAGGACACATGGCTCAGCCCAGGCACCAGAGGACTGGTTCCCAAAAGAAATCCCCCACCTCAGTCACACCACTCTCTTAGCTCAAAAGGGCAAAGATGTGCCACTAAGTGGCTCCAGAGCAAGGCACTCCTCCCTATGCAGATCCCACCGTAAATGAGTTTGAGTTTAGTCTAGCAAGAACCTGCTATGCAGGCTGTCCAGCCTCCACAGAAAGTCCCCACATTCAGCTCTGCCCCGCCCAAGGTTCCGAGACCATCACTCTGGTGTTCACTATCCTCAGTCAGGCTCACGATGTCCACTAGACCTTTTTTCTGGGGGTAGAACTCACACTCTGCTCCTCCTCTGGCCTCTACTCAAACATCCTCTCTTTTAAACTGGAAACACTGCCCAAATGTAATTCATAGGCTATTTTCCTGCTTATTCCCAGCCTAAGTGTAATCCAGAATGGTTTTTATTTGCACATCTCTCCTGATGAACTAAAAATACCCTAAGAGGCAAAGATTTTTGTGGGTCTCACTCAGAGCTGTACCCTGGTAGCAGTTTAATTTCCCCCATGGTACCCAGTGAACCACAGCACTCTCTGCACAGAACCTGGCATTAAGTATGTGTCCAGAAATACTCTAGGGCTTCTATGACCTATGGAACTTACATGACGCAGGAAGGCATAAGCCACTCGAGGTGGGTGCCGGATGCAAGCCTCCAGCTCACGCAGGAAAAAATGATAGTGGAAATCCCGAAGCTTCTCAAGGTTGCCAAAGAGGTGTGCACGCTGGCCACGGAGGCCCTGGGGTACATCAGGTCGATCTAGCTCAGGGAAGTAGTTCTGCATGGTATAGTCGAGGGCCCGGACATACTCACGCTCTGTGGCCACCATCTCCGCCAATACTAGCTGCAGCCTATGAGGTAGGTGGAGTCAGGACCCAAGACTCTCCACTGACCTCCCTACCCTGCCCTCCACCTATACCTGTTGGGATTCCTGGAGTCAGAATTGCTTGACAGAGGCACAGGAGGGGATGACCTGGGCCGGACACCACCTCTAGCCTCAGGTCTGTGGGAGTCAGAAACCGTTGTTGCATAGTGGCCATAATGGACAGCGTCACCAAGATGCTGCCCCAGATTCCGATCAAAGCTGTACGCCTTCCTCAGTGGAGGAATGGTGGGTATAGCAGGGGCCCGCCTGGCACGCAAGGTAGCTGTGCTGTTTACTGATGGTGGCTTTAGTGCTGCCTCAAACTTCTGATCCAGAGCCAGCCAGGTGTCCTGGCACTGTGCCCAGGCCCAGCGACACTCCTGGCGGATGCCTTCTGAGCCTAGGCCTGTGGCAAGAGCCCACATTTTCCGGAAGTGAGCAGGAGGCAAGTCAGGATGTCTGGTCCAGTGCAGCTGCAGCCGCTGCAGCACAACCTCTGGGTACTCCTGCTCCAGCTCTGTCAGTACCCGCTGCCCCTCCTCAATCCATGTTGTGGCCTGCAACACCAAGGTCACAGAGACATGAAAGCAAGACCCCAGCACATCTGCAGTAACTTCTGCCGTGCTCCCTGTCCCACCCACTGGCTGACTCAGGAAGGTTGGTCCTAGGCTACAATCCAGAAGCTGAATTTTGGGGTAAGATTGAAAGCCAAATAGGATACACTCAGACTCTGGCAGAGCTTGGGCAACCTCCACAAAGTCAAGGATAGGACCCCCTAGGCCACCTGCTTGAAGAACTGAAACAGCTTCTCGGCATCTGCCAATCGCTGGCGCCTCTGGGTCAAAGCTCTGGAAAATTCTGTCAGCTGGGATCTCAGGGTCAGAAAGCGCTTTCCAAGAGGTCCCAGTTCAGCAGCTTCGCAGTCAGCCAGTGGCTGCAGTAACTTCTCCCCTTGCTTGACCTGTTCCTGGAGACAGATGGGCTCAGCTGGGGATCCAGCCCAGACTTAGATCCTCCTGCTGCCCATTCTCTATGGTTCTTCCTGCTC